AGAACTATGTGCGCAAGTGTTCTGCTACTGTGAGTGAGTCTTGCTGAGAAAATGGCACCAGAACTCATATTTTCTGTAGCTTTCCAATGTGTCATCAGAAGCCCTTTCAGCCAGGGATTGTGCCATGAAAAACGAACACGCTACACAATCAAGCTCAAAAGAAATTGTCAAATCAGCGGTTGATTTGCGAGATGAGCCAAGGCTGATGTAAAGCAAAACAAACATTTTTTATCCCTGCTACTTTCAACGAAGCAGGGAATTACACTGCACAACAACACAGAGATAAAGGGGTAAATGCTCTCAGCTACACAACTCCCCAGCACTGGGCTCACCACAACACTGGCCACTGTCTGGCCAGCACAAATCTTCTCCTGTGCCACCACCTCACGGACACATCTTCATTTCCCACAGAGCAGCACAGCCCCAGTTCACAAAGGGTTTTCCAGTTCTCCTTCACTGAACATAACCTTCCAGCTAAAATCTCAACTGCCTTTTAAAATGTTAACTGCTACCAGTGACACTAAAGAGTATGCTGCTGATGAAAAAAAAAACCTAAACCCACTTCCTTAACCAGGATATATTAGCTCTAATGAACATGTTGTTCTTAACATGGCATTTATTTGAGGAAACTGAGCTGGCTAATTGCACAAAATGTAAGGGAAGATATTTAGTGAAGAGGATTGTGTGACATAAGTGAAATAAATCCCCCTAATCAAATTTACTTTCTTTCACATTTTGAGGAAAAGAATCAGTAGAGCATTTTTCTCTTCTTACTTTTCTGCCTTCAAAAAACTCCAGTAGAAGCTAAAAAGAGGTTTCCTTTGGTATTCAGAAGATTTATTTTGTCAGGTAACTCCAGATCATGGATATTTCAAGGTATTTTCTCAATAGAATTCCACAGCCAGGGCTCCTGTTCATCCCCATCACTATTCAAAAGACTGTCCTATTTCAAAATCACTAAAATCTTTCAATTTATTGTCTTTGTACCATGAACTGATTCAGATGAAAATGTGGAAATTCAGAAGTGCTGCATAAAGCAGTGCCCCTACTGGTATTGCTGTTGAGGAGTAATAGCCAAGAGGTTTTTCTCTAGGCTTTTCTACTGTGCTACCCTGGCTGACAAGTTTTCCTGAGGGGGAAAACCATAACATAAAAGGGGAAAAAACCCTCCCCAAAGTATTTCCATCCCAATTAACTGACATTTCAGATTGCAGCACACCAGTTAAATACTTTGAATATGAAAGTTTGAAAAACGAAAAGAGTTTTACAGACCACTAAGGCCATGTGTGTTGGTTTCAAGCATGTTGGTTCATTTTCTCTAGTTAAAAAAATACACTTGGATCAAGAGAACTTTGGTTATTGCTTCCTGAAAGCAGCTGAAACAAGGGAGAAATGCAGATTTCCACATGCAGAATATGGAAAGGGAGGTTGCCCAAGTCCAGGAGCATTGCACAGCCCATGGAATGTTGATTACCTGTGGTGCCCAGGGAGAGCCCCAGCCAGGCTCATCAGTATGCAGGTGACACTCAGGCATGCCCAGCTCTGCAGTGCTGGATCAGGGCTGCAAAGGGCTCCACAGCCCCTAATGCTCCTCAGATATTCTGGAGGAGAAACCCTGTCAAACCAATTATCGACCGAGATCTCCTCAGATTGTTTTTGGCACTGATTTATTAAATGAGTTTGGTGTTCGTCTCCAGCAGGATGTTTCCAAGCAAAATTTTGTGTCTAACTGAAAGCAGATGCTTCCCAGCACTTTTTCAGGAGAAAGCTCTCTTTTTGTTTTTATTTTATGGAAAGAATTTGGTGTTTGTTGGGTGGAACAGAGACAGTTTCCTACAGGATATGCAGGAAAATTAAAACATCCAGATTTGCCAATTCAAAAGGTGGCTTTCTGTTTAGCATATCCTTTCCCTGACGTTGGGGAGCAGTCCTTGCAGGAGAACTGGGCTTCCTTTCTGACCTGGTCCTGGTTCAGCACTTGCCAAGTCCACACAAAATCCCACAACCAAGCAGTGATCAACAACACACACCACCCAATTTTTTTCCCCCACTATTTGAGCCCTTCACTGAGTTCCCTGTGGCCAAGGCAGTGATTGGCAAAGGTTTCTTTGTGTGGAAGTAACTTGGTGAAAAGCTCAGCAAAACAGGTTATGTCTTCCTGAAAACCCTTTTTCCTCTGTTATCCTGACTCAGATTGGTGATTCTCATCATCTTGACACTACAAGGGATGCTTTCCATGTCTCTCTTACATTTCTACATAATTTATTCACATACACATACAATACACACAACACAGTGCAGGTGGAGGCAAGATTGCTCCTTTTGCTCTCTGATACAAGAGGAAAACAGCACAAAATATAAACATGTGACAGCCTAAGGAATAAATCCTTCCAATTTATTATCTCGTGCTAGCTTTGAAAAGCATACTGAGGCCTGCCCAAACCGTGCCTGGAAATTGTTTGGGAAGGTGTTAGTCAGCTTGGATCTAACCCAGGCTGAGTGTCTTTTGTCAGTTCAACAGCCTGAGTTAAGACAGAGTCTGTGGTATCCAGTATCCAAAGCTATGCTTCAAATGACTGAAACTAAAGTCCAGGCCACATACTGCTCCTCCTCCAAACTCCTAAGTCTCATTTCATCTCCTCTCAGTCTTAATTTTTCACTAGCCCCCTGACAAAGCTCTGCTGCACGAGACTGGCTTCAGTTTGTAGATCCTTTCCACCTAAGCACAAACATTTCTTACATAGCTTTCTCCTGCCTCATCTGTCAGAGGGAAAACTGAAAACTCTCCTCCTTTTCCACTCAAAGTCTCCTTCAAACTTTAGTTTCCTCCAGTGCTGCTCCAACCTGACCATACCCCACCCTCAAATGCACCAGGTGAAATGCCTAAAAACCTTCAGTGTTGTATTTCAAACTCCACCAGAGCTGTGAAAGGTTGCTTAGTAAATACACACAAACTTACATGTCCTAGGCAGGGCTTGTCCTGAAACAAGACATTATAGACTGGATACACAAAAGACTATTCACTAAGGGACCTGAGGAGAAACTTCTATGTGTACAGCAGAAAACCAGTCAGTGGAACTGACTGACAAACACAGCAAGAGGGGTTCAATATCTGAGTGTTTTGGAAATGAGTGACATTAAAAGGATGAAGTAATTACATAAAAGAGTGGAATACAAACAAGAGAATGGTAAATGGACACACAGAATATGGACAGGATGTGCTGTCTTTCAGCTCCCGAGATGTTCCACATAATCATTTACTATTAGCTCTAATTGACTTGGATGCAACAAAAGCACAATGAGACATTTCTGGAGGAGTAAAATGCACACACTGCTTGGTATCAGCACAAAAGCAGCACGACTACTTCAGGAAAGTCATGGCTTGGCAGCTGATGAAAAGAAAGGAGGAGAGAGTTATTGTCTGCATACTTTTCTTAAGCCTCTGTGGTACAAATACCTCACACAAACAACGCCACCTACCTTAAGTGACCACCCCAGGGATAAGGTAATTGAGTTACCTTATAGAGATCAGCACTTAATTAAAGGTCAAACTAAATTGTACTTGGAAACCTCAGCAATATGTTCAAACTCATTCCTGTGCCAGAAAGCTGCTATTGGATGTGGCTCCCATTGTGCTCTTTACTGCTTTTCATAATCCTCACCTTCTGCTGACCATTTAATCATCACATTTCTCAGCTGAACTCGACATTAATTGATACATCTTCTTACACCACCATATTTTAATAACTCAAATACCAATTTTTTACTGTTAGCCTAGCAACGTAATAGAAAAAGAGGACAGGAAAACAATATACTTCTTGAAAACAGAGCATGGTGTGTATGTTTGCTCATAACCTGTCCATCCATCACTGTACCCAGTGAGCACTTATTACCAGTTATTCTCATGCTAAATTATGGTGGGTTTGATGACATGTAAGTATGATTTAGCTTTCGTGTTACATGTGCCTAAATATTGTACAGGGAAACAACATTCTTTGTGCAATAGCCTGAAGATATATATGTCACTACAATAACAAAAGCCTGAAAAATTAATCCTACAAATGAGCCTTGTGTCCAATGAACTCTGATTCTGAATATGAATGGGAGGTACTGATGTTAAAAGTAGCAAAATTAATAAAGAAGGTTAGCAATAAGAGACAAGAGTGTTAATTACATATCACTGAAGTTTATGAACCCATTAGTTTTCAGCATTTCAGCAATTTAAAGCCAAGGCATATATTTTGGAAACACAACATTTTAACATTTAAAACAAACCTATATTTAACCTTTCTAATTTTTTTTTAACTCCACTTTTCAATTTTAACTCCCAACACTTTGAACCGGATATTAATGCATTCAAACCTAGGACTGTATGTAAGTAATTCCAAGCATATAAATAGATTAATTCTTTTAAAGAAAAAAGGAAAACTTTTAAAGTTGAATCATAAATACTTACTGACAGTTAAGAATACCTCAGTGTTATGTTCTAGAAGGTGCACAAATGCACTTTGTGTGAACTCATTCAAAAGTCAGAGGATTTCATCTATAGCACAGAGCTGAGATTCAATCGTGAGCAGTAGGAGCAGTAACTGGATAACCAAATTTGATCAGAGAGAACTCCCTGAAAGACAAAACTGTCCCTACTATTTGGTTTTGGCTGTTGGGTGTTCTCTGTCAAGTCCCTGACTGCAGCATGGCTGCTGCAGCTACATGTGGCGTGTCTTGCCAGGGTACAAGATGAAAAGGCAACCTTCCAAATGTGAAGATGAACTCAGTGCAGGCAGAGAGGGACAAAGCAAGGCTTGGACCCAGTTTCCTATTCTAAGAGCCCAGGGAAGCACAGCTGGCTGCAAGTATCACACCCTGTGTCACTTCCTGGGCTTGAACAGGACCTGCTGTTGCACAGAGCGGTGTACGGGCTCTCTGAATGCCGAGCAGGAGAGAAGACAGAGCAAAGCAGTCTGGAAATGCCAGTTTGACATTGATTTTGTTTTACTTACGGCTTGAATTCTTTGTTTTGAAAACGTCTGATGTCACGGCCCCGCTGAGCCTGGCAGATACAAAGCACGGGGCATCCCCAGGCAAACAGCAGCAGATCTCGGTGTCACAGGCAGACAGACAGGTACTGAATGCAGCCCTTAAAACAGAAATCAATAGGTTTGACTGCACCACCATCCAGGTTAATGAATATTTATTATTCCCTACTGATGCTTCTCATTTTAGCCTATTTTGGTTTTTTAAACAAACAGGAAACCTGCTTGTTCAGGAGTCTTTGGTAATTTAGATACAGTGCTTTTTAAACAGTTATAGAAAACCTCTGCCATGCATATCATCAACCTGTAGGCACACACTGCGTTTGTATGTACATGTCCATCAGGAGAAATTATCTCAGTTTCAGTCAGTTGTGGAATGACTTGCTGTGGTTGGATCAGTAGCTGAACTCTAACAGTTCGAGATATGGCATTCTATGCACTGTGATAGAAAATAAAATAATGACATATCTTTAAAAATGCTTTTAAAAATTATTTTCACCCATTTAAATTGTTACTTCAGAGCTGATTTGGGGAAACATACAGCAGAGAGTTGGCAGGTCATTTATTTCTCCAGTCTCTCTATATAATCATATAGATTAACTGTTAACAAGGTACCAAAAAAAATAATAAAAAATGATACATTAACTAGTCTGGTGGCTTGGGGAGCTACTCCAGCAACCTGTGCTGCAGTTCCGTTTCCTACACTGCCCCATGGCACACATTGCAACATATTTCACATCATTCAAGCTGAGCTTCAATGAATTCTTAAATGACTTATGGAAATCACTGTCAATAAAAGGCCTTTCTGGAAAGCAACTCAGTTATCCACAAATCTGGGGAGGATCCTGAGGGAGACAAGGGAACCAGAGCACACAGGCCTTCAAAAGATCAGCCCAAGGACCTTCTTGCTCCAGCACTTACTGCAAATAATGGAAGCCTTTCCTCTCATTTCTGTAAGCTTTTGTGTCACACACAATTACCATAATTCCAGATGTTTTCACTCCCATTGACGTAGGTGTGGCCATGACTTTGTCCAAACATCCCACAGACTGACTCCACCTAGACAGAGCCTCATCAGGAATTACAACACAGGATTAAACAATCTCCACATTGGTTTCCAACACTAAGTGTTTATTCCCTGAGAAACACTGTACTACTTTTGAGAAACATCACAACCAATAATCTTGAATTTGACACAGACTTTTTTTTTAAAGCTAAAACTTCCTAATGTCTAATGCAGCAGTACAGTAAAGAACCACTACAGTACATGTGAACAGTGACATGAGGAAGTGCCATAGCCCAAACCAGCTTTTAGACTATCTTATGCTTTCAGAGCCACAGTTATGAAGCTGAGATTTTTGTGTAGTCTGCAACATTTGTAAAAAGTTTAACATTATTGCAGCTGTTTTCTGTCCAGGCTTACAGTGTTTTTTCCATCTGCCCCAAGGTGGAGTTCATTTGAATGCCATCTTCTCACCCTGGCAAGATCCTCAGCGGCTGATCAGTGCATTATAATGCAAGACAAATTCTGGCTGTGATTATATAACCCTGTCCTACACTTGGGACAAAAATAATAAGGAGAACAGAAAATGTATCTGCTGTATTCTTCTGACTGTGCCAGTTTTTTTCCTAATGGTCAGTTATGCAAGGGTCCCACGGGAATCTTTCATAGTCATTTCGCTACAATGAACATAGTCAGCTCAAAAGACTTTTTTTTCCCCACCCCAAGGAATCATAAAAATGAGAGATGCCGGAGTTGCTAGGTCACCTTACCCTTTCTTCTGCTATATTCTACACTTCAGATTATGTTCCATGCAGTATTATTTATTACTGGTCTGCCACTGAAAGAATTTCTGTGATTTAGATCACTGAAATCCCATGGGAGGGAAGTGGCCAGAAAATTATTTACTTCAGATAACAATCTAGTTTATGCTCCTTGATAAAACAAAACATTCACATAAATACATTCATGTCAACAGTTTCAGTCAGAAAAGATTGTGGTTATAAAGTAGTTCTTTGGCACTGTTCCCATTCTGATGGTTTTTGGATCTGCTAGTTGTCTTTTTTTTTTTTTAAACAAGGTCAAGGAGATCATAAATGTGAAATAAATCAAGAAATTATAGCAAGGTTTTGCTTGAAAAATGGATTATCAGTGAGTCACTGAGTTAACAAATACCATTTGGAATGGAGGGCAGATAAAACTCAACTGATTCAAATGCCAAATAAACTGGTTCTTACTGCAATAATTTCTTTATTACTTTTATATTTAAAGAAAGAGCTAAGTTTCTCTATTTTCCAATAAGAGCAGAAATGACTGTGTAAGGTATGAAAAGATAACCAGATTAGCAGTTGGCAATATTCCCCAAGATTTTTAATATTTTTGGAAAATGATGAAACAGATGGAAAGGCTGTATGACTACAGGTTGAATCCAGTAACAGTGGAGGAGGTAGATCATGCCCAATTAAAGAGAGATCAAAATTAGGCTACAGGACTCTAGAATGGGAACATTTGTGAGAAATGGAGAAGCTTTCATGCTGCAGCCACTAGTTCCTAGTACTGCACTAGGGGAACTAGGAACAACCTTTTTAGGTTGGCCTTGCTTCATCAAAGTGAGTTAGTAATAAAGGTCCTTCCATTAAACAACATATATTCACCAAGTTAGTTCACAAAAATTCTTCCACTGACAAATACTGAATGTTTTCAAAAGAACTCCTCCATTTTATACTCTACTTTTTATTTCCTTTCTCAGCAAAACACCAAAATCACAAATACACAAAACCATTTCCAAATTGACTTTGTGCCAAAACTGAGAAAAGTAACTTTGGTGCTCAACTTTGAAGAACTCAAAAACTTAAAACTTACCTTTTATTCATCATAGTGACACACATGAAGCGGTGTTGATTTATTTTGCATAAAATTAAGGCTTGCCAAAATTTAAATAACATTTTTAAAGCAGAAAGTGCTCAATATAGAGCACAGAAGAATGTTTTCAAACTGCTGGTTGCATACACAGATGTCAGGATGGGCTATTTATGCAATCAATTCAGTGACAATGGAACAATATTAAAATATGCCATTTGAGAGAAATGCACCAGGGGCCTGCTTAGCAAGAGTTCTGCACTAATGAAGTTGCTAAAACTAGTTGGAATAATTGGCTATTATCTTTTTCTATCAGCAAAGCTTTGGAAATCTCAGATGAAATCAAACACTGAAACAGTTAATTCACTTACAGGAAAAATTCCAAGCTAAAGATTACCAAAGCTGGCTGTATTTTTCAGCATCTCAGGACTAATGTGGTACAGGGATCTGCTGATGGCTCTAGACAAAACAACTGCCAGTGGAGTGCTGACTCGGAACTAAATAATACACTGAGAAAGAAGCAATAAAGCTGAGATGAAACACAACACCCATATGGACATCAGCTGCTCCAGTCACAAGAGAATTACCCATTAAACCAGAGAAACTTGCTTACCTTCTCTGGTGCTGCGAAGTTTAATAACAAATGTTTGTAAACAGTTCTTAGATGGAGGGGATGAAAACTGCCATGAACCTACAAACAACACAAAAGGAAAAAGTATTTTATTGACTTGCACAAAAGCTGAGGTTGCAACATTACTACTTTTAAAGTATCTGGCATTAGTAATACAAAAGCAACTTCAGTGAAGAACCTGAAAAATCCGTGTGGCTTACTATAATTGGAACTTCATTCCAAATTTCAAGTTTCAGCTCTGAGATCTGCAAACTACAGCAAGTGAAAGCAGTTTGGGTATTTGGCAGTAATTTACTTCCAACTGCACTTGCTCTGAACAGCACCAGTCAGAACCTGGGCCTCTAAAGCACAGTGCAAACTATATGGGGAGTGCTTACAGCCCACTCAAAGGTAGCACAATAATGGGAAGAAAGGGAAAGGGAAGTCACTGAGAGTACAAGTGGAATATATACCTAAGTGCAGAGCCCCAAATCATTTCAATGTTTCATTTCTGAAGTGAAGAACTGCTAGAAAAAAAAACCCCTTGCTCAGTCCAGACAGACTCCAGGGCCTGTCACAGCACAGTGAATCTCTGGGAAATCTGGAAAATGGACAGAAACCATAATACTCCCCCCACCCAGCCCCAATGGGTGTTCATGCATTTTTCCTGCCATTTAAAACAAATTCTCTAAATTTCTTTCCAGAACAACTGTTACGTATTCTGTGTGATATCCCTTAATTTGATATTCAGCACAAGCAACTTCACTTTGCTTCCAAATGTCTGTGGACTACAGATGTTGGACTGTGAATTTTCACTGTACTACTAAAGCTATCAAGGGTTGGGCTGGACATGTTGGCAGCCGGTTGGAGAGAGCTGGAATTTCTGGTACTTTCAAACAATTCTCCCTGTGAATAAAATGGCATTGACATCTATTGATTAAAGATTTGAAGGGATCTCAGAAAATCCATACCCGTTCCTGACAATTTCCTAGATAAGCTATTCCTCCAAATCCCCTTGTCCTTTTTTCCTCCCTCCTAGCCCACCTGCATCATCAAATATTCAGCTGGCAGGGTGGGCATCTGTTCACCAAGATCTAGAGCTCTGCTCTTCACTACTTATTCCTCCCTTAAAGCAGAAAATGTTTTATGTGGGAAGCATCAGGGTGTCATAAAAAGAAGCAACATTTTGGATATCACTGAGATCACAGTGTCTCACTGAGAGCCTTTAGATATTGGTGTGCTTCAGTTGCTTATAGAAAGTTGTCAAGATCACAACTTAAGAGTCATCTAAGTATCTTTTTTATTACATGTTTTAATTAACTTGTAATTTGAATCTTACTCTGGCACAAGCATTATTTAAATGTGAATGAGATTCAATAAAAATACTGAATTTGGTTTTGTAGCAGGAATTAAACTTGTCAGATTCTCACACAAATATGTTCAAAAGAATGAAATATCTGATCAAGGAAAAGAGCTCATGAAGGTTTGCATCATCTCGAGCAGTCTTGTCCCAAAACCTGAGATCTTCTACCTCGTTCATTTGACAGGGGCTGGTAACAAAGTCAAAGGAAAAATTAAGCAATTTAAGATATTGCAAGGGAAGGGTGTTGCATGAACCTCACAACAGAACCCAGGAACAGCAGAGGTTTATAGAACTTCCTTTGTGTCACAGCTTGATGAGAACTCAATAAGCAGGATGCCCAATTAGTAACAGCATCTGTACATCAGATTTTATTGCCACTGAAGAAGTCACTGTACTGCCCTGCACTTCAAGAGACTTCACAACTATGGATTTTCTTCTCATTTCCCACAATAAATATAACTCCTGGTCCTGATCCATGACATTACTACTCTGGTAAAGTAACAGTAGCCTGAAACTCTGAGTGAGCTAATTACCATAGTTTTTGTAATTGCAGTAAGGGTTAAAATATCCACAGTTTTACAAAACTAGACTGCAGTGCTATAATTGCTCAATAACTTGCATTCAAACTTATGTTAGGTTTTTCAAGACCCTTTTCTGCCATTTCTGACTATTTTATATATCAATAGTTGTCCAACACACACATGCCCACGGACCTACAACCAGGCTATAAAGCCCATTCAGAGAGCACTGGATATGTCTACACTGAATAGAGCAGGAGGGGTCACAGGCACAAAAGCCACTTAGTTTCTGGTGTATTCCTGGGGCTGCCTCACTGGCATCCTTATCTGCCACCTCCTTGCAGTGAAATGAGGGAGTACTGTCTGATTTTTTATATAAACAGCCAAAGAAGTTAAACATCGAATATTCCTGAATGTTCTGGACAAAGTCATGCTAATGTGAGGGAACAAGCTCTTAACTCCAGGAGCAGAAGATCTGTTCCTCTGCGTCAGTCTGCACTATGTTACCACTTACCCATCACCGTGACTCCCATATATTCCTTTCCCTCAAATGAGGAACACAAGGCCAAAACATACAAATACTTAAGAATCAAACTTCATTTTTCTTTTAACCAAATTTCCTTCCCTTTCAGCTATTCAGCAACTCTAAGTCAGGTTTAAATTTATCATACATCCCTGCAGAAACATGAACAGATTTTTATCTTTGCCATGTTCAGCTCAACCCACAGACCCTTCCTGAACCCAATTTAATCGCACTAAGTGGGACAATGATGGGTGGGAACACCACCACTAAATCATCTCCTCTCTCCTTTAAGCAGATGGACCTTTTGCATCTTCTCCTTCCATAAAAATTTTTCATCTGTAAGAATTTGTAAATCAGGAAAAAGTTGCCACTGTGATGATATTTTAAGCATGTAACACGATACCTGTAAGTACTAAAAATTAGATGTAACAAGTATTAAGAAGTGCAACCATCTTTTCTTTAACTCTATCTATCCATCAAACATCTCAGCTCTCTGTACCCAATTAAGATCCCATAAAACTGTTGCATGCTCACATAAAAATGACACTTGAGCTCTGCCCCCAGAGGTCATCAGCATTCCCAAAGGCCATACACATAGAGGAGATACAATATTTTTATTTTCAGAAGCTTTCCTAAAATATCAAACTCATAAGTGTAGTAGTTTGTAAAAGCAAAACTCACTTAAGCAAAGATAAAACAGAACATGTTCAGAAGAGAAGGATCTGCAGAGAGCTTTCCAACACAAAAAGCTGAGGCCAGCTGACTGCCATCATGTCATGTCATGATATGTTATCTTTTACACACATTAATTCTGCTAACTGGTGCCTGGGGATTTTCACAGCCATTTCAGCATCTCCAAGGTGACATCTGAGGGGAATTACATTTCACATCAGTAACTAAGTGTAAAGGCACATAAAAATAGATGTGCTAAAATCCACTACCACCGGGTCCTTTAAAATCCTTTACATTTGGCCCCTGCTCCTCATGCACTTAATATACTAGTAACTTGTACTTTTAAAGTAAGTTCTCTAGTCCAAAGGAGAAAGGAAATAAATCATCAGCATGGAAATAAAGCAGCAAATTATGCATGAAGAACTAAGTTGTTCTTGCAGAGATTACCCCTTGGTTGTGCAGAGTGGAGCTTTTTAAAACGTGGGTTAAAACGTGGTTCTTCAAGACAGTTACTTTTGGGTTGCCCATTGACAAATTATGTCAGTTCCATGAATCTGAACAGATCTTTTCAAGTGTCTTGGCTACTTTTCTTTCCTCTTCTGTCTTTGCTACTTTTCACTTTCCATATTGCTGCAAGGAGGTGACCTACTGGCAGTAGAGAGAGAAAGGAAGTGGCCTTTGGAGACCAGATGTCAGAATGTCTGATGAGAGCAACAGGAGAGCTCGTGGATACAGACTGGGCTCCCAACACTCTGGAGAAGCTCTTCAACTAATTAAAATCTGAATTAACACTGGGCAATTAGAAATGTTTATGAGAATTTATACATTGTGTCCTAATAGCATTTCTATATACTTTGCATCATATTAAAACATCATAATTTAATAACTGGGTTATAACAAATTGAAGCTACTGAGCTGCATGATGTTTATAAGCAGTATAATTTACAGTTGGTTTTTTCTGGCATGGATTTTTTTTTTAAATTCCATTATCAATTGCTTAAGATTTTGCAGGCTTTGAACAGCTTGGGCAACAGGCCACAGGAAAAACTGGTTTAGGAAGTTTAAAAAAATAAAAGGCTCAGCTTTTTCCAAAGACAAAGCCAGAGAAAATACGTAAGTTTAACAATTAAAAACAAGCAAATAAACTTATAAGTGCTTAGCTAATGATCTGTCTCGCATTCAGAATTTTGAAGTGTGCACTGGATTATTGATTACTGCCAGATTACTGGCAAAGATTCAGGAATTACGGATGCTTTTTGACATCCAAGAAATATCTGCCCAATTTTTACTGAATTGCAACGTCTGAAGCTGCCATTTGCAAACACTCAGTGGAAAATAATTAGACTGGCAAGAAAATTCTCAGAGGAACCTGTAATAATACCACCACTCATTGTGAGTTGTGAAGATAAACCCGTTAACATTTGTGAAACACTCAGATGCTCCGATAATGAACTCCATGAAAAGCCCATGAGACCAGCAATAAATCTGTAATCAAGTGTGATATTAGGATGCTGCCTAGTAAATAGGACCATGTACCTGACACTGGACACTAAAAAAGTTACTGAATTACCTCTCAGTCACTGGCAGGTGTCTACCCTTTGGGCTTCCTAAAAGAAGGGCCGTGAAAAGAAAATGTCTATCTACTGGTGTAGGGAGATAGAAATAAGGCTTTGGCCAATTATACAAACAGAAGTGCCAGATTAAGTTCAGAAGTTCAAAACTGTGATTCTGTACTTCAACTTTTGAGGGTTTGACTCTGCCAACTTAATCCCTGTGTGTTATTAAACCATTGTTTATTGTTCTATGACTGAGCAGTGTCATTCCACCACCAGAGCAGACTAGAACAGCAGCCTGCCAATAAAATGTGCCAGCTGGTTGAATATGGTCTTTTTTCCCATACAGGTGGAAACACACAGGAATGAATGCAGTCCAATCTAATGGCCCATCCTCTGAAAGAAATCCCAATTTATTAACATATCATCTTCAAGGAAAGGCTGGATCCACTATTGC